TCTTAGAGCTAGTTGCTTTTAGCCACTTTCGTAGGGGACTAATTTTTAGTTCTTGTGGGATTCTGGTATTTGAGCCCACACAGGTGCAGAGAAATCATTCTAAACCTAAAAAGAAACTGTACGTTAGGTGCATTAGAAGGAGAGCTTGAGGGGATTATGTTATTACGGTGCCGAGCTAATTCTGAAGCAGTACAGCGAAGTTGTAGCATGATGTAGACGTCTTTCTGAACGTAATGGATAGGGTTTTCTGAAGGGAACAGCCATCGATGGCATATTAGGCCTCGGGCACTCAAACATTTCAACTTGGGGTCGCGACCTTTCACATTTGAAGTATGAAGGAGCTGCCGGCAACACCGGCCAATATCATCTCCTATCTCGATCATAATGAAAGAGTTAGGGAGACATATATCCCCGGCGTCCTCGGAGCCATCTCTGATCTCTAGTAAGAAGATAAAAGGAGAAGCACTCTGAGGAAAAACACAAATCTTCTACCATTAAAGTGACTTGTACAGTCACTAATGCCACTGCTGTAAGTTTCGACTCAGACTGTTCTTCTAATGTGAACAGATATTCCATGTAACAGCCATGTTCTTAGACGTTAATAGGTGCAGCCATCGACCTATCGAAGCTAAAAGCTTTACTTTTGTGTTACGTAATGGTAGGCTTCTTACGATCAACGTCAGGGGGACATCTTTACTTGATAATTTCACGATATTTTGAATAGCAATTCCTAATATACAGTTGTTGCAATATACATGTAGTGGGTTGTCATATACTTATACCAACAGCTAGTAAAAAGTACGTGTTTTACATATTTTTGTTATGGTATTGTAATGTAATAACTAATGTAATGTCATAAAATGTCATTTCATAACGTTTTGATGGCCACCCCTCTCCAGACGTTTTTGATGGTCTGGCCGCTATAGCAAGACAATAATGTCACAACCTGTATTCAAAGATGCGTCGACGTGTTTCTTACGATGATTATTATCCATGAAGATATTACGAGTATAAAAGAATATCATATGCAAACATTACAGAATCCCCTTAACCCCATAATATGTTTTATACATTGACATTTTGACAATGACGCATCGCTTGCGTTTATGTACATAATCCTTACCCGAATTCGATAAATGGTTACCACTCTCACGGATATTTAATGGAGAATAATGGTCGGGACGTTACCCTATTGATCTGGGACAGACGTGTAACACGGATATAACTAGTCTACAACAGAAGGGCATTTGCATATTTGTTCACGAAACTGGGACAAAAATTCACCTTCATCGGAATTCGAAAATGGCCACCTGCTATATCTATTCTCCATGTGATTTAGACCCTTAGAACTTACACTTTGAAAATAATCAAATTTTGTCGGATATTAATTGCGGAGTTGTAAAACAGGGGCACCATGACAGTCAAAAATCAATGTTTTCATGCCAAAAAATTAGCGACGTCACGACATTGGGTAGCTTAACTGTTCTTAGTAAAATTTGTATTTTTAAAAATCTATGTCTTGTCTATGGCAATGACGTTATGAGAATGCTTAGAATCGTTTACATACCGTCTCAATAATTAGGCTCTGATAAAGGCAGTCCAGCCTTGTCCTCACGTAATCAATAAAATGAGTAATTAGCAAAATAATTACATCCCTACCATTCATCATATGAAAAACTCGAAATAGGTGAACTGAAACGGGTAATATACACAGCCTGTGCTTTATTTGGTAGTACATGTATATTAGAGTAGAAACTGAAGACTTAGAAGTATTCCTCCTGTAGTGACTTGTGACACGCCATTGGCAATGGCAACTCAGGCTAACGGATAGTTGTGTTGATCTAATTTGCCTACAGTATTGCGCTCCGATTAAGTGCCAGAGGGTAGAGGGCGGCGCCCTTCAGTCCGTTTTTCCATCCTATCAGTTCGTAACCGAAGCGGCATGTACATAGTAAATGACTTTAACTTGAATGATGTCTGCATTTTCTTTAATGTACACTTATTAATGGAGCAGGATGTGTGTAGGCGGGCTTTACATGGCTTTTGGATGTCTAAAATCTACAAAGTTTTGCATTTTTCTGCCTGTAAGCTACACAGATAACCATCCCAGACGTACGGAGCTCCACTCTCTCAATCTTCCCTTCCAGTAACTTCCTCCAGGCTACGTTCTTTAATAAATCGGAGCAAGACCATTAGGGGATTCCTTATTGGCGACATTTGAATGCCGATGAATTCCAAATGTTTCGTGCCGGAGGATCCATATATCTCTCCTTACGACCGTCCTAGGGAGAGCTCTCGGGCTTGGTGAGAATTTTTCACCGGTACTGCCGCTGTCAGGTTACCGTCCCCTGGGCACAACTACCGTGCTAACACCGCATCTGCCCGCCTCTCTATCTTCCGCACATGCATGATAGGGGATCTGAATTCCGATTTGATATTAATGCAGTCCAACGTAAAGGTATCCATCTAGGTAATATGAATTACAGCGGATTTTGGTCCAGCCTTCTGAGGTGGAGCATCTCCCCAGCTATCGAGGCCTCTCGGTGATTAACTGCCATTGATATCGGTCTTCATCTTTTCTAAACATTGATTTCAAAATCAACAACAGGCTAGACGAGAATACCATCTTTTGGGACACCATGACGTCATTGATTTCAAGGCAGAATAATCTAAACCAGTAGTAGGCTTTCTCACATCGCAATTAGCAAATGTTATTTTATACAAGCTCCACAAATGGTTATTTTGAGGCCAATTGAAGTTATTGGTGCACTCGTATAGTAAGTATGCATCCGAAACGTAAATATAAAATTGTATCTATACAATCACAATCGTTTATTCTGTATTCCTAATATTCAATTTTTTGTGATAACAGAATGTTTTTTTCTCGCGTGGCAAATATAGAAAGCTGATTGCCTATTCGACTATTCAAAGTTAAGATTCCATACAAGATTTTATTACTATTCAATGCAAATGAATACTTGGACGTACAGTCTTGTAAGAGTCAAAAGATATAATTCTTATTCATGCAATTTTATGTCAAAACTCTGAACTTCGATTAGAGAGGAAACTGTGATATGATGGACGTCATTCGTACATCTAAATACCCGACTGACCAGAAGAATTGATGGACTAAAGTAGGTTTGGGAGTCTCTCCTTTCTGTATGACTCGTTAGGGAAATCATATTGCTCTCCGTTTACTGCGCGCATGGTGCCGTGTTTGGTCAAGCATCGGCAGCTACATGCGGGTTGACTATGTGGGCAATATGATTTGATAATGAATAGACTGACAAATTGACATGAATAGGCACAGAGAAAGGTAAAGGAATGAGTTTTGACAGATAGCCTGGCCGGTCGATGATTGCTGTGGTTCCATCATAAACAACGAACACTAGCTATAGGCATGGATAGAAGAAAACTGTTCAAGCTGTCCACTGATAAACAAAGGTTCTGTAAGATGTAGACGTTCCTACAAACACAACCTCAAAACAGCATCTCCTCAACCTTGTGTTACGGAAAAATACATGACTGTCTTTTGATAGAGTTATATGCAATGGAAATCTCATTCCAGACATTATTTCATCGGCAATAGTCATGAACTTTCGACACTGATGGTAGTTGGGTATCAGCAGGTAGGTAGGGTTCAAACAGGGCCAGCAGTTCCATGCCGACTAGTACTCGGCACATCACAAGGCTAAAGGAAGGCCCTTCAGCCTCCAACGGCTCTGCCATTGGCCACTACCAACGTCACAGAGCTCAGCCCCACCGGTGAGTAGAATATCTAGATTAATGGTGATAGCGGGTATCACGATGTGGTATACTCAATTTAGTGCTGTTTCGGTGGACCCAACGGGTACAGCCATTACCGTGCGTTCTTCTTTCTTCAACGTCAAGCCTGCCAATTGGGACTTCGATAAAAATGTCTTGACTACAATGTCGTAATAAACATCCCAGGAGATCAAGTGCGTTACTCCGGGCTCAAAGGAGAATTGAGCACTTTGCCTGTCGTTACGAATAATTCTTCGTGGCAAACTTTTCTTTTTCTCATTAAGGGTTCATATCTCTCAGGGGGGAACAAGTAGTACGCATAATTCAAAGTCGGGCAGGCGAGAAATGGGGTGTAATGGGCTATGCCCTGTACGAGGGATTGCCTTAAATTTAGAGAAACAAATGCGGGAGAAGCATATCGTTAAAGTTTCAGATGTTAGGCGGGCTTTCTGAGGGAATATAACCGACATTTGTGCGCATGAAACTCGTAATCAAATAATCGGTTTTTAGGCGTAGGGAACAGTTAATAAAGGGTCAATATTTAAGGACAGCTGGGGTATTTTTGACTTTTTGTCGATACGCTACTACCTATCAACTAGATATGTAAGAAAAATCGAAGCACAGGTATAAAAGCAAAGCTCTTTACAGCCGCCGAGCGACTCATAAAGGGATCCTGGTATTTGATGAATTGTAGCTAATGACGTAGGGTGATAGAGAATATAAAATCAGACCGTCATCTATCTTTCTAAATAACATAATGACTAAAAAACAACTTGGGGTTATGTTGTCCAGAACAAGCCCTATTCGGCGTTTGGTTGTACAGTGGCCGTACTGTCTGTAAAAAAAACGGTGTGTTTCTCTCAAGATTTTCGTCCTAGATGTATCAGGCATTCCACCCACGTTCGAGACGCTAACATCCTATACTTCGGATTCACATTGTACTCAGCGGGGAAAACGTTCTTTCCGCATAAGCATTACCCACACAAAGAAAAGAATTGATTAAAAAGGCGGGTGGTGTATCGGTCAATATGATTCTCGACTTCTATCAATTTGATGATAATGGTTGACGTTAACCACGGCAAAATGGACGAAATTGCTACTCAAAGTTCAATACCATGAGCTGAGGAGTAAATTTCCGAAAGCAAGGTGACGATGACTCCGTTACAGTGCACGAATACAATTCTGTATAAAAACCAAAATGGCTAACCGGTTGGTAAAGTTTTTTTTCTACTTACCCGTCGACAAAGATCCGTCCAAGAAGGAAGCATGTCAGAGTCGCTGTGTAAATGCACAGTATCCACGTCGCCATATTTCATGATGGGTGTCTCTTCTTCAGCATCCTGCTCGGTTCTACAGTGTTAGAGATGAGGGAAAAGGTGGGCAAACCGGCCATGGCTCCCTCTCCTGCCGTGCAGTCATCTTCAGTGTCCTGTGGGATGAATGAAGAGGGCACTGATGCTGCATTGCAGTAAATACATAGACCTAATGACGCATTTTATACCCCGACAGAACGGAGAAGCGGCACTCGCTATTGCAACATTATCAGTGGCTCCTGTTGAGATGATGTATTATTTATTAGGTACTGCACTTGAGACAGGGAAGTGCGCCTGAAAATCTAGAAAGACAAAAGTCCTGAATTTTTACCTTCGAAGAGCTAAAGGAAGGACTATTCTATGTCTTGGCCATTTACAGTTCGAGTTGGCTATAGGGGCCAACAATCAGTGCCTTGCTCGCTAAACCCTAATGCTGCAGTATTTATACCGGATCGATTAGAACTAGTCTGGTACACGCCAGCCAATTTAAACATGTCGGTACAATCGAAGTCCAACTGCCATCTGTTACACGAAATGTAGGCTGCTCAGAGACACCTTTGCAGGCGATTAGGACACTCTCTCCCGTCCGACTGTCCCCGTTCGCACAATGTACCCGTCTGCTCTTTTCGTTCCACCGTCGCGTTCCTATCCAGGAGCCGTACTATTTTCACCGACTTACACCTTCATCCCCAGCTTACCTGAGCCGCCAGGTCCTGCCAAAGTTGGAGTTCGACCCATCAAGTCGTGTGAGATTTCTTCCATCTACCGATCCGTGAGCCGTCCGTCATGTGTGTAGGACTAGCGCACGGCGGGATGAGACATCACTACCCGGGCTTTCTGCTGACTGACTGAGTAACGCTGCTTGTCCTGGAAGAGTCCAATCCTAACACAACGGTGCACAGCTCGATCCACGCCGCAGTATCAAACGGACAGGAACTGCATGGGCAAGCGGAATCGAAATTAATGTTCAAGCTGCGTTTGCCAGCGTACCAGGGGCAAGGATGGTGCCGCCTAAACATTCAAGGGCGGGCGCACGCGTGTTTTATAAGCGGAGCACCGAATTAGATAGTAATTGGACGTCTCAGAACTGGCACACGGTTAAAGGTGAACCCCCCATTACGCCGGGAAGGCTCACCCGTCACCAGGGGTTCCGCTTTTGTTTATCATTGACCCCTCTAACCTCCTGCCTAGTGCCATTACTACCCAGGCGTAGGTACGGCATTAGGCACAGTAAAGGCAGAAATTACGGCATCCTATGGCTTAATAGCCGCCGTCGCATGAGTAAATGCTAATGACCGCTCTGACATGAAGCAATTACCAAATAATGGTACGATTCAATGCCGCTCATGTCTTCTCTCAAATTCCCTATACAATACCCTCCCAATCATTCACGATAGTGGTATTGTTATGGCAACTCAATCCTGGGGGTAAAATGTTATGGCCACTGATAAAAGCGTTTGATTGTGAGACTCCCTTTGTCAATTAATTGAATTATGCCAGATGTGGTCTTTCATCCTTGATTCTGGACAGTCTAGCTACTTACGTATTGTACACTTAACATGCTGGTATAGTACTCCATAGGGGGAGGTAAGCTCAATTATGCTGATCCTTTGCTTATAAAGTATACCTTGCCTTAAGTCCGTTTTATTAGTGCCGGCTACTATTTTACCTTATCTGACCCGCTCAAGGTACAGAGTAGTCAGGGCAATCTAAAGTAGCCCGAGATTACCGGACAATTTAGCACATGTACAGCTCACCTACACGGGAGCCCCGCAGCAGTGGAGTGAATATCGCCGATAAAGTAATTGTTGTTTATTAGATCTCGATTCGCTGTCATCCCTGCTTCATGTCATTGTCAGATCTGGTGAAAGCGCCTCTTTCAAAGATTTAATGAGATTTTTCAGCCTCCAGTAGACGGGGGCACGAAATACACACAGGACTTTTCGCTAGATGAAGTACTAATTGCTCTACGTATATCTTACGTCTTATTGTTCCTTGCTGTTATACTAGTCCCAAACTTTAAAAGATCTTTTTTCAAGATTTTATCGGCTTACTTGGGATTTTTGTAGTTGAGCTCTTTAAGCTTTTATGATTTAAGCTTACACAGCTTACACAATAGGAATGGTCACAAAAGTTCACATGATATTAGCCAATTTACCACCGTAATGTAGTCCTTCTGATATCTGTTGCGACTCATCCCGAGAGCTTTTTCCACGGGACGGCAGATGGTTCATAATCGGTAGGATTTCCAAGGCGTGCCTCTGGGCATATCCCCAATCTACCTTCGTTAATGAGGTGCTTTTGGTCGATCTTTTAACTGAAATAAAACGAGTGGGTTCGGACACATGTAGTACTTTAATGCATATGTACTGTTATCTAACATTGAACGGAAACTATAAGTCAGTGCAATAAAGATATCGCCCTTTTAGATTGACGTTTTATAGACATTTTACGGGAATGGTGCTAGCTGAAAATGAAATGATCGCACAGTAATGATGGTCAAAACTTGTTACAACAGTTATGTACCTATTTGCTGATAAGGTTAATGTTTAAAGTTTGGCGTCAAAAATTCCAATACCTGTAGTTTTTTTGCAACCTAAGTTTCTATGTCGTTCCATGAAATGTAATTGTATTATGTTTATTTTACTTGCTGCCTAGTGCACACTTTATATTGTCATGTTACATGAATAAATAAATAAATTTTTATTTGTGTTGACAGTTGGTTTTCAACGTATTAACATGTTCTGATGTCAGCTACCTCGTATTAAGTTTTAGCGACATCAGAAAAAACAGCTGCAAAATGAGCAAATATATACCGTAAGTTGCAAAATGAATATTTAAAAACGACACCAATGTCATAAAATGCCAAAATCAAACAACAAAAGACGAAAATGTAAAGAAATGAATTTGAAGAGTAGACTATTCTCCAACCAAACTCTGTGTCATTTGTTCAACCTTCATGACCTTAAGCTTGCAATTATTATTTTCTTTGCAGAACTTTTTTTTATTCACACGCGCGCATCAGTTTTGGGGTTCCCAGAGGATGTCATTTGTATAACCAAATCAACATGGCCTAAAAGCAGGCAACACTGGGTGAAAGGTAACACATTCAGCATCCGGGATATCTGACAATAGTGTATCATCCGGGCCAGTAGTGACGGTGGAATCTCTGCAAGCGATTCTCTTACTCCTCATATAATGTGAAAGTTTCTTGCAAATACATGCCCTAGGGCTAGTTTCAAATACAAACAACATGTATGAAGGTACAAAGATATGAAACTCTACGTGATGCTACATTCTTCAACATACGTGGTACGGATTTTGCTGGGTTTGACTTCTTTTTTTTCAGGCAGTGGGAGACGAATTTACCCACTTTGTCTAAAATATGTGGGTTCTTTGATTTTAGAAGTAAAATTGTTTTTTCCTGATGAGTGATAGTGGGAAAGTAGTGGTGCATTTTGGACACGACGGTAAAAAATGGGTTTCTGATATCATTATAGAGTGAACAATTAGAGATTAAATAATTTTCATCTTCCACTGCATTTAAGGAACATTATTTACAAATCCTCTCCGACACATGTATTCAGACCGATTTCTAGGGACTCCTGTCCCATATCACTTAGATGTATTTCATATGCTAATGATGAACACAGGGAAAGAGCTTTGATGGGTATTCCTTCACTAATTACCACCACTGTAATAACAGGAAAATGCATTCAGCAAATTAAGACTAAATTTGTTTATACGGGGCTGGCAGACTTCTTATTTGTCCATAATTATATCCACGGCGATGCGTATTCCCAGTACAGCCGCAGGGTCCTGTAGGTATGAATTGCAAATACTATACAGGGACTCGGTCGGTGGAACCATTTGTTGTAGTAGGCCATGTTGATCTGATTATATGGATGACATCCTCTGGGAACCCCAAAACTGATGCGAGCATGCGAATAAAAAAAGTTTCTAAAAAAAAAGTTGACTTCATCATGAAATCTACACGCTCATGAAGGTTGAACAAATGACTAAACACACAAAATATGGTACAGACTCTTCATTTCATTTCATTTTGATTTCTTTACATTTTCTTCTTTTCCTTTGGAATTGATTTTGGCATTCTTCGACCTTAGCATCGTTTTCAATATTTTTTTGCAATTTACGGCGTATATTTGCTCATTTTGCAGCTGCTTTTTACGATATAAAGTATGGTCGAAAACGTTTATTTTTTGGTGGGAAACGGACGAAACTTCATGCGCGCGCGGATGTCATCCATATAATCAAATGGCCTATTTGTAGTACCAAGCACTTTCTGTCTTACAATCGCTTGAAATACTAAGTACCTAATACCAGCTCAGAAAAGAACAAGAAATAGTGATGCCTTCAAGTACCAGATTATGAACCAAGGATTGAGGTGATTCAAAATTCATTCTCTCCTAGAACTATCGTAGCGTGGAACTCACTGTCACTAAGTACAGTAGGGGCATTATCATTAGATAGCTTGAAACGATGTTTAAATTTAGATGTTTAAAGGCTAGGTGTAACAAGTCGTTCGGTGTAATGCAGCAAGCTGCCGCTGCGCCGCGTGCCTGCGAAGCTGATGTGTGTTACGCCGAAGGGCAATTGCACCGACTATACAGATACAGAAATAAGATAAGACAATGCTGTAATCTGCATACATTATTGTCTGAGGTCACAGTGTAATAAGCCTGTCAGGTCTCTGATTTCCCAGAAGCAAATCGCCTTATTTGTGTTATCTCAGAATATCCACATGGGAACGCCGGAAAGTTAAAGGTTTCTGCCCGCCGGTCTTCCGTGACATTAAAGACATCCAGTGCAGTTTTTAGGGCTTGGAAACCCGATTTTTCAAAGTCAATATTCTAAGTCACTTCTCTACATACTGAGTTATAACCACACTATTCCAATGTATAATGACCCTCATGAGCCCAAAACACCCCAAATTCGGACGAAAAATGGTTACTGGAAGGGCCCTGGGCTAATTTCAGGATACCACTCAGAAAATAACGAGGACTCACCTTGGGGCTTGTTTCTAGCAGTTTTAAATGCCCAGAGTATGAAATACTGATTCGAAGTGCTAATGAGAAGCAGTATGTGTCAACATCATAAAGATAGTCGTATTCAAAATAGTTCCAGATTTGTTGCCCTGAAATCGCATTGGATGTCTTTAACATGAGAGGTATCTACCAGTTTACCTAGTTACACTATAGAGCGTGCTCTATATATAATACGTAGTCATCTTTTTATTCATCTGGTCATAGTCAACTAACTACAATGGTTTTGGCATATCTTTTTGATTTCATTGTATTTGTCAACAATATCAAAATTATGGGCGAATAAATATCACTTCGCAAAAGAGTAAATGAAATCATACATTATTCCTTGACATAATGTGATATTTATGTCAATATATATGCAATCAACATCAACAGACGCTTTGAGAAACTTAGTTTATACTGATCTTAAACTTTGTCGTGTGTGTACGTCCACTTGGTCTCTGAGAACACATGATGTTATTGTTTGGATACAGTCGTAGCGTGCGAAGCACTTGATACTGTAACGTCACCAGCTGAGGTTCAAAAGTGACTTAGAAGAACACTCAGTTAATTATTGAGTAGTCAAGGCTTTTGTGATGAATAACGTCCCAGTCAACTTAGTCGTTTTAATTCATCAAGTTCGCAACACATTTCACAAAATTGTTACGGTGGACAGTTGGTGTGTTAGACCTTGAAAGCGATCAAAATGGAGTTACAGAGCGATAGTATAAAGGCTTGGTCTGATTTGTACTCAGAGGAAGAGTGATTTCTTATCAACTTTGATAGATGCAGCGTCCCATAGAGCACATTAGAACGCGCTGCAGTCAGATTAACATAGAAATTAAAAGCACCTCGCGACATTTTCGAATGTGCCAATACACCTAATCCTCCGGGGCAAGCTTAATGAAATTCTTATCACCCTTTTGTGTGCGGGATCATGACCGCCGCCACG